GGCAACTCATGGCAGCCCAGCTCCAGGTTGAGCTGTTGTTCACCATCTTAGCTGTAGAGGGCACAGCATCACTGGCCCTAATGTGGGATCCAAACCGGGGCCCTGCTGCTCGGAGCTGGCATCCCAAGCCAACTCTTAACCAACGGTCCACTCGGCCGGCCTGAGAATGTAATATTTTAATGCGACTAAAAGAGGAATGTGTGAGACAGAAGAATAAAACCTACCAGAATTAGGTTAACTTAACCATAGTTAGGTAGGCTCTTATCAAATAGGGTTAAATAGTTTGTAATAGATATCATAATGATATATGTGTGTGTGTATATAAACATATTAAGACAAAATTCCCCAAATCATAAAAATATTAAGTCACCAAGGGAGAAGCTCTTCATAAAGCGAGAGCATTGTTTTGGGAATTGTGACTTGAATAATAGAGCGAGCTTTCAGCTCAGAATGTTTTGAGATGCTCAACTTGTAGGATCAAGTCAAAGCATCTCATCTAGAGCAGAGGTGCTCTTGGTGGAGCCTAAAGAATAATCTGCCTTGTAGTCGCTGATGTTAGGAAAGAATCTGCCCACAGTATGATCTCCATCAAATGTAAAGTTAGTACTGGGAATCACACCTTTCATTTCCTTTTTTTTTTCTCCTTTAGCAGCCCTGAAGAGTTTTCACCAAATTGCAAGCGGGAGTCAGGTAATAATGTTTGTTTCTGAGCTTTCAGAGGAAGCTGTTTATTTTAGTGGGCAATTTTCATGTGTGATGAAGTGAAATGTTGAGAAGGCAGCCTCTCATCAGTGGACAAACAATGCCTAAGAATTTAGCTAATGGCCCCCCTTCAGTGCAGAGAATAGATGGCAACAATTGTACTTGCAGACTAGACCTGAAGCTACTTGTTTGGCTGCTAGGTGTTAATGCAAATTTGTTCTTCAGCTCATTCAACCCTGGGGCTTCCATCCTTTGATTTAATTAAATGTAATTGGTTACATTGCTCCTCCCAGGCCCCTGAGGTGTTTTTGTTTATTGCTTACTCTTTGCAATAAAGCTTCAATTCATGGCACAAAATGCTGGATAAATAAGTCTTTTTTTCCTATGTCGGATTTGCAGGGAAATTATTCCATTCAAATAGTTTGGCTTTACTGTTAAAAGTAAATGACCAGTGAAATAAACTCATTGGGTGGCAAATGTGGCATAGTCAGAAGCAAGGAATTAAAAAGGATAAATTACATGAGATTAGGAAAAGTTATAAAGTTGTAATGTTAAATTAGTAATGATTTGCAAGAATACTATGAGATATCAACGCTGTAAATAAATAAGGCTTTATTAAGGTTATCATTGTTGTAGCACATTATGAAAAAGTTACTTTAAAATGCCAGCTATGAAATAGTCTAAATTAATTTTTTAATTATGCTGAATTCTCTTACTCATAAATATGCAAGTGGCATTGTTTGGGACAAAAGCGAGAATGATATTGACTTAAATTAGGTCAGCACAATTAATCTATTCCTTTTTAATGAAAGATTTGTTTTCTTTCTACATAAGTTTTGTTTTTAACCTGAAGATACTGTAAATAACATTTTTTGTAAAGTGATATTTTTTCCCTTTCAAGTTTCATTTTAATTTGAGAAGTGGGATAAATTATTTTCGTTTTAACTTCTGAGGATCTTAGAAACTTAAGAAAATTACAAAAATACCATTAGCACTTCCCAATTCAGTTTTAAGTACCAAACTGTATAAATGACTTTACCCCTTTTCGTCCTTGTCAGTTGGATAGAATGGCTTGCCAGAAACTGGTATTTATTATGGTGTTGACTGGTTGGTACCTTTATTGCTTTCTTCTTTTCCTGGCCTTTATTTTCACCTTTTTAAACAGTAGAAGTATAAGATACTGCACCAATTATATTTTCATTAATGCAATAGGCTTTCTAAATCTTGCTTTGTCACAGGCCTAGCTCATAGCTCTTCTGATGGAAAAAAATGAAAAATCCATGATAAGAACACAGGTATTCTCAGTGCAACATAAAACTTCAGTTCCTCACAATAGGATTGTTTTGCAGGGATTTTTTTTCTAGGCTCCCCTCAAATTCTGTTGCGGAGGTACTGGGGTTTTAAGCTTATCATGTGCTATCAGAAAGTTAGGCTTTTCTTCTGGTGATGCCCCTGATGAAAACCAAGTGGTACTTAAAGTAGAATATGAGAAAACACTCCCCTTGAAAGATGGAGAGCTGGACTCAGATGTCAGCTCCAAGGTAAGTGTTCAGAGGAGAAATGGAGTACCAGATTCACATGTTGGAAATGAGCTGTCAACGGGGCTGTGCATCACTCTCAGAGAGTTTTCTTTAGCCTCGGTCAGCTGAGGTGTAGGCAGAAAAACCCAAAGTGGTTGTAGGTCCAAAAAACCTTGGATGGAAAATACAGGCATTGTCAGCTGGGCTCGGAGTGATTTAACTTCTCACCTCGTCATCACATGGCAAATAAGAACGCTTAACATATTATAACGTGCTGGATACTGAAGGTTTCTTTTGTAAATGGAAATATAATGTCATACACAGAAGGGAGGGAAATGTTCCAGTGGTCTTTTAGATAAAACCAGATACTCTTCTCTCGTACTTGAGTAATTTTCCTCCCTGTGCACTGGTAATAATAAGCCCCATCGCCCGTCCCCTGACTGCGACTCTACCGAATCCACAGCTTTGATTGGAAACTCTCAACCCCTGACTGGTCTCGGGAGCACTGATTACCGAGGCACCCCACACACTTCCCTCATAAACATTTGGCAGATCAGGAAGTGCTGAAAAGCGAATCCCCTGGCTCTCAGAAGAGGGTACTGGTGGGAGAAGAAATAGAACATTTTCCCTCTTGCAGCTGTCAGAGAGTGATTATGTCAAATGGGTTTTCAAGGAGCCACAAAGTAATTACAGGGTAACTTCTTGACATTATTTTCCAATGTTTGGCTCAGCAGATGATGATGATTAATTGATGTGTATTATTTTATGGCTCTCTGAAACTTTGTTTGATACTTTAGATAGAGGTCTGACTTAAGTCTTCATTTAGACTAATACAGTAAATTTGCCTGAAATCTTAACATGTTAACTCTCTGTCTATAATAGACTCAGATGATTTCCTAAACTAAACTGGCCTTGCGGTGGCTCATAGAGACTATGTTTGGGTTGACTTTTTCATGTTGATTTTTTATTTTTATCAGCTCATGTGTTTTCAAAGTAGTGTTTCACTATTTTACTAAGATATTACTGTGGATTTCTGGATCTGATGTGAACGTTAAATCGTGAAAAGTAAAAGTACTTAATACCTGGTACTTGGTAAGTGTTCAGTAAACGTCAGCTGTATTTAAACACGACATGGTAATCATTAAACTTCAAAAAGGCATTACCTGGTATGCTGTCTCACTAATGTTGTGGGCTAGTTAGCAGAGAAGAATCTGACACCCTGCTCATTTTCTTCTGTAGTTATGTTAGAGCTGGCCTCTCTGTTGGTTTATATATTTTTATTAATTTTAGTTCAATTTACAAAAGTAGGATATTTACGTACAATGGACTTGAAATATATTTATACTTATGTGTCATTTTGCAGGGCACATCTTATATATGAATGTCTACATTAATTGATTCCAAGCGAGTAATTGAGTCAGGTAGGCCAAGATCTGGACATTGAAGACTAATATAGCAAAGATATTGTAAATTAAGGCATATTAATGAAAATGATAACTAAAAAATATAGTGGCGCTTTTATTATTTTGCTGAGATTAAATGTTTTTTTTTCTTCAAATCAAAGTTGTCAATGATACGAGAAGTGTTCAGTGATCTTAGACTTTCACAAGCTTGTGTATTAAAAGATGTTTCATAGCCAGAATGTTTCTTACGAGAAAAATGGAAATGCTTGAGATTCTGAGAATTCACTTTTTATTCAGCTTAGATAGACAAATATTGTCTTACATTTCATTGTTGCCTTTGTGCCGGGTAAAATAATTTCTATTTGCTGGCCCCAAACTGTTCACCAAAAAATAACTACTGCGCATATAAATATCATATGAATGACTTGGTTATGACATAAATGCTAATATTTGACTAACTTTTGAAAACATGCTTGAATATAGTTATGTCAGTGAGTGCTTTGGAGTAGATGTTTGAAGTTTTGAGGTAGGAATATTTCAGTCAAAAGTATTATTTTCTTTTTTTTTTTTTTTTTTT